TGAAATACAGCATACAACAGATAATTAAACACAATGCAAAACTTTATAAACTTTATTAACTATTAATAGATCAATATAATTATAGCATCTCATATACTGCATATCATACTGATATGATAGATTCTACATCTGACTTATCCTGCTTGCGTGCCACGAGCACAAGTCGACGCTGCTTATCCAACGTTCTGTTGTTTTGAGCGCTTATTAGCGAGTGGTTGTTCGATAGTCCATTCCGGGTGTCAACCTTCGTGAACGATTTTCGATGTCTCCTAAACCTTCATCAAACTCAACGCACTCAGAAAGGTGGATCATTGTTGTGTCACTAACACATGTCAGTGGTAAGTGGCGAGCGCCTGCACATAACATTTTTAAGGTTTTCACTAGAACGCGAGCTATTATAATTGTTATTAATAACTTATATTTTATGAGAGCATTTTGTTCCACGGTTAGGACTATTAAAGCAGATTCAAATGGTTTAATTATACATAACACGGTAAGAAAGTAGAAAGGAAAGTTTAACACAGTCAGAATTTTGGTCTACCTTAAATTCATGATTAGACCATCTTGGCGACCTTCTGACCATGTAATCGACGGCTCGGTGTTTATCTCTGTTTCAATGTCGTTTATATGCTTGATCGGATGAAAAACCGTTATATTACGCTATACATAGCCAAACCCTTTTTGTACTGTTCTTCATTCATAATAATTGAAACAAGTTAGATAATTTATTCATAATTATATAAAAGTCTATATCAAAGTGTCTGGTAAATTAATATAAACAGTGTTAAAAGGCTGTGACGCGAAAGCTCCGTTACGCCAAATAAAGGAGTATTTCAGGCAATGAACCGTCTTTTATACACATTTAAAGTAAAAGCGTGTTCTGTCGCTTCTTCCTGAACCACGATATCTCACTGGAAGGCTCGTTATACAGAAAAACAGCATAAAAACTGTTTAATGTAGGTTATGCGAAATACTTAGTCTAAGGGCAGGTCTCAAAATATCCTAAACCTGACCTACACGCAAGAGCAAAGTTATATATCTCAGAAAAAGAGGCACATCATCAAAAAACAACTTATCCTGTTGTTCAATTTGTTCATCAATCAGCGATATCATCAGTGAAGCGTTGCCCGTATATTCAGATGGCAAACTGCATTGTTAAATGAATAAATCAGACAGTGACCCTATAACCCTTTCGGCGGGTTCTGAGATCAACGAATACTTCATGTGGATAAACTTTTCCTCAAGGCATTACGAGATCTGCCAATCGTTGGCTGTTAACGTCTCGTCATCTTACCATACCAGTATCAATTCTGAGAGTTAAAGAAAACCCTACGTCGTCTCACAGGCGACACCTAACCCGAGCGAAGCAAACAATGACGTAAATTTATGGAGAACTACTTTTCATAAAAACTGGAATGTGTGAATCATATTTAAGAATAGGGAAGAAAACTTAAACTGTTTATGTCTCTGAAGCTCTTTTCAATACCGCGCATGGGTAAGAATTCCACTCTTATTTTCCCACACACGGTTTGAGACAAAAATAACTTGGTCAGACTTTCAATATTGTGTCTGTGTCTCAAACCGTGGATGGAAGGTAGAAGTAAGGTCAGTGAGGACGTCAGAACTGCAACAAAACGACTCTTATTCTTCTTCTTTAATGATTCTTAATCGATTAAGGGGTGGGACGATGTAAAAACTTTGGGTAATCGATTAGTAGAATGGCCTGTCATGAATTAAATCATATATATTAAAACATTTGTTTTAATAAAGAAAAACAATCACATGTAACATGCTACTAACTTCGTGTAA